GGGTGATCTGCGGGCCACTTGCTATACATCTGCGGGCCGGATTTGGACCGCAGACCACCAGTTAAACAACCCTGATTTAGGTATCTCTCTGGACTTTCCTTAGTGTCGACCATGTAGTCTAAAACTTGTATTTCAGTTGTTTGACATTGGATACGATGATCGATTTTGCTATAACATTAGATACGATGATTGATTTTGCTAAAACATTAGATACGATGATTGATTTTGCTATAACATTGGATACGATGATTGATTTTGCTAAAAGATTAGATACGATGATTGATTTTGCAATAAGACTGGATACGATGATTGATTTTGCTATAGATTAGATAAGATGATTGATTTTGCTATAACATTGGATACGATGACTGATTTTGCTATAAGATTAGAAACGATTATTGATTTTGCTATAACATTGGATACGATGATTGATTTTGCTATAAGATTAGATACTATGATTGATTTTGCTATAACATTGGATACGATGATTGATTTTGCTATAACATTAGATACGATGATTGATTTTGCTATAACATTGGATACGATGATTGATTTTGCTATAACATTGGATACGATGATTGATTTTGCTACTCCAGGTGTACGCCAGAAGCTGGACTACCTGCGTGAGCTGGGCGTGGACACTGTTTCCCTCAGCCCCATCTACAAACTGGCAGCTGATGCTCCCTCTGACACTCACATAGTCAACCACACACGCATAGATCATGACTACGGCACGCTTGAAAGTTTCAAGCTACTGGTGAACGAGACTCACGAGAAAGGTAAGTCGGTAATTCAGCCCGTTCTATTCATAATCATATTACCATTAACATCATCATATTACCATTAACATCATCATATTACCATTAAAATCATCATATAACCATTAACATCCTCATATTACCATTAACATCATCATATTACCATTATCATCCTCATCGTCCTCTTCGTCCTCACACCATCCACTTGATGAACAACAGCCGGGCTGTTATCTAATTTCGTCTACACTGACGACACTGGTCTCTTGTTTTTCTCAGCCGTAGAGTTGCGATTCTTTGGTAGGAAGGTAGGTAATTGTACACCTACCAGGACATCAGACAAGCGATAAACACTCGGTGTCACAAAATGCCACCATGCAGATAAGCATCTACGGTTGAGAGGTCTCAGAAACCCTTTTCATCCGTTAGGCCATATCTATGCCCCGGTTATATTCAGGGCCCCTGGCAGAAGCCAGGGTGGAGCTTCAAATAACACAAAATTGCATCCTACATGAGGACGACTGTCTATTATTTGGTTTTAGAAGGCAATTTTCATACGCCAAGTATTTTATCAATGAAATACTGGCTTTTAAATTAAAATACTCTATAAATTTTCACACAATGCCAAGGGTATGGAAGAAAAAATATCTTTTCTAACTTGCCTGCAGGCGGATTAAACAAGGTATCTCGGAATTACAAAGCTCGTTCCCAATGCACAACTAATAGATGCGAATATAAAAGACAAAAAAAAAATCATTTCAAGGGACATAATTTAGTTATTTACTCTGCTGCCTTAGTTAACCTGCTTAATTCCCTTAGATTTTGTAATTTTTAAATATAATCTTGTGAGTACAAAATCATAAGCCTAAAACTAATGACCAGGAATTTTTGTGGGAGGTAAAAGGGACTGACATGATACAGACCACATTTATGTGTCTAAATCTTCGTTTTTCTTCTTTGCGTCTTCCGGCTGTAAACTCCGGCGGAAAGTTTTGGTTGTTTATCCACTTCTGGACTCTAGTCCTGTCCCAGGATCTGAGTGTAGCGCGAAAATCCTTTTCACGATGATTTATTTGCATGCAGACTTTTGTTTCCTGTCTCTCAAGCAAATGCACTCCGACTTCGAAGAGTGCTACCAATTAGTCTACTCTTACGACATGCTTTAGGGCAGACAGTGGGTATAATCTTGTTTTCCCCAAACTGGGACACCGGAACACACACGGGGATATGACTATATAAAAATATGGATCTGTTACCATATGCTTTTTTCTAAGTGCAAGATGGACCTTTTATTTACTCAGCTTGCAGCACATGTCATATACAATCTCAAACACTAAACTACTTTAGGCCACAAACCAAGAAACTTTAGACAATATGATAACCAAGAGAAGATGGAAATGTCTTGGCCACATTATGAGAATGAATCCTGATATACCTGCCACAATAGCTCTCACATGGACACCAGAGGGAAAGAGAAGGAGGGGGCGCCCAAAAACAACATGAAGACAAACGATGGAGAGTGACCTGAATGCGGCATCTCTGACATGGAAAACTGCACTGAAGATTGCACAGGACAGGAAAGCATTTAAAGTCCTCTCTGAAGCCTCATGTGCCACTAGGCATAAAGAGAATTGATGATGATGATGACATGTCATATGGATAGTTAAACATTAGTTCTCTCTTATAAGATTTGTTTCTTCGATGTCTGCATCATATTTGTTTGTCTGCGCCGTAAAGGCGACCGTCTGGTTTTACAAGTCAATGATACGTCATGTATTTTGTCAATGAAATACGGGCTTTTAAACTGAAATGCTATACAAATAGTCACCGAATACAACGGGGAAAAAAAAAAAAAATCTCTCTTCTAACTGCAGCGGGATTTTATTTTATATTTCTATTGTAAACTTTAGTAGTTGTAATGTGCGAAGTAAGATGCACAAACGGATAAAGGAGAGAGAAAAAGAGAGAGAGAGAAAGTGAAGAGTGAGGGTACACAGGATAGGCAGACAGATGGACTCCATTTAAAAAAAGAAATAAAGAGAAGAGTTGGGAAGACAACAGACAGAGACAGAAAGAGACAGACAGTAATAGAGGTAGAGACAGAGAGAGAGAGAGAAAGAGAGAGAGAGAGAGAAAAATAGTTATAGCTACATACAAAAAGGAGAAAACTGAAGTAATATGGAAATTAGGCAGGCATACCATGAGAGAGTGAGAGAGAGAAAGAGCGAGAGAGAGAGAGAGAGAGAGAGAGAGAGAGAGAGAGAGAGAGAGAGAGAAAGAGAGAGAGAGACTGGTACGCTAGCACTGCTTCCCATGGTTGAAGAAATAGGCAGATGGGGTTCGTGTTTTGCTTTCTTAAATTTTAGCTAAAGAAGAAACAGCAGCAATAGTAGTAGTAGTAGTAGTAGTAGTAGTAGTAGTAGTAGTAGTAGTAGTAGTAGTAGTAGTAGTAGTAGTAGTAGTAGTAGTAGTAGTAGTAGTAGTAGCAGCAGTAGTAGTAGTAGTAGTAGTAGTAGTAGTAGTAGTAGTAGTAGTAGTAGTAGTAGTAGTAGTAGTAGTAGTAGTAGTAGTAGTAGTAGTAGTAGATGAAGAAGAAGAAGAAAAAGAAGAAGAAAAAGAAGAAGAAGAAGAAGAAGGAGAAGAAGAAGAAGAAGAAGAAGAAGAAGAAGAAGAAGAAGAAGAAGAAGAAGAAGAAGAAGAAGAAGAAGAAGAAGAAGAAGAAGAAGAAGAAGAAGAAGAAGAAGAAGAAGAAGAAAGAAGAGGAAGAAGAAAAAGAAGGAGAAAAAGAAGAAGAAGAAAAAGGCGAGGCAATCAGACGTAGTATATATATATTTATATATATATAATTTGTGTGTGTGTGTGTGTGATTGTGAATTTAGGCCTAGAGCTTTTCTTTTAGTGATTGTTTGGTGTCTGTTTATTTATTTGGTCTCTTCTATTAGGTATGCACATTACCATGGACTTCATCCCTAACCACACCTCGGATAAACACCCATGGTTCCTGGCAAGCAAGAACGGCAGTGACCCGCGAGAAAATGAATTTAGATCGTATTACGTGTGGGCACCTGGTCGAGGTGACAATGGACTCCAACTGCCAAACTCATGGGTAAAATATGTGTAGCTTATCTTGAAATCCATATAAAATAATTAGATCCATTCATAGTATGCTAGGACTAGCGGTTGGTGGGCATTTTCTTAACAACCTGCTATATGCTGACGATATAGTTTTGATTGCTGAAAGAAAAACAACTGCAACAAGTGATGGATATAACTATAACGCAAAGGGAAAACACAGACATAGTTTGAACAGCAGAAACACAGAAGTAATGGTAATTACAAAGAAACTGACCCTCCAAAATACAAAATCACAGTAAATGGAACAAAACTCAAGCAAGTTGATATGTTTAAATACATAGGGACCCTGATAACATCAGATGGAAGATGTATCAAGGAAGTTAAATGTCGAATAATTCAAGCAAAGGCAGCATTTTGCAAAATAAAGAATATTTTATGTAATCTTTCTTTGTCAGTTGAGACGAGAAAGATAATTCTTAAAAGTTATATACATCCTATATTGATATACGGATGTGAACCAGGGACAGTTAGTAAATTAATGAAAACTTATTTGGAAGCTGCGGAGATTTGGTTTTATAGACGAATGATGAAAATACCATGGACAAATAAAAAGAGTTAAAAAGACACCTTGAAAGAAACTGACCCACGAAGAGCACTGATTGCCCATATCAGAAAGAGACAATCTACATTTTTTGGTCATGTGATGAGAAGGACAAAATTAGAGTGCATCGTGACAGCAAGAAAGTGAGAGGGGAAGAGAAGCAGAGGGAGACCGAGATCTGGACAGTTTGACATCATGGCATGGAAGGTCATCTTTGTCAGAGTTGCTTGAAAGTACACGGGACAGAAGGTTGTGGATAGATCTGACTACAAACGCCACACGGCATGGACTTTTAGAAGATCTGAAAATATGTCCGATAAAGAAGGCAAACCAGCCTGTGGGTAAACACACAGCTGCTGTGTGGAGAGACAAACTGGACTTTACAGACTAGCGTCCGCTTTTGTCACCCCTTCTTTGTATGGCGATCGCGGCGTTTTGTTGACTGCACACAATTTGCCGGTCGCTGATTACGTTAAGAAGGCCGTGTACTTGAGTTGATTCAAAAACCGAGATCACAGCACCCGGGGCATACTCCCAGGCGCTTCGTCCACATCTTCTGCTGCCAGTGCAGAGTTCCAATACCAATGGTGCCAGTAGAACTCTGATTGGTCTGTCTTGCCTTTTCTGTGAATGTCTAGTATGGTTCAGATCCCCTTGTCACTCTCCGACACTGCATCACTCTCACTAGACTGTGGTGATACATTTTCTCCTCAGAATTGTACACGTTCTCCCACAAGGCCTTAACCATGTCTACCTTATCATGCATCAGTATTCCACCAAGTTGTGCAAAGCCAGCCAGTCTGTCTGCATGTTTACTTCCGAACACACCAGCATAGCCGGGGAAAAGATCCAGACAATGCTCTTCATCTGTGACCTCCGGAGGCAAGCATGCCATTCTGCACCAAGCACGCCTGTGCTCACCTTCCTCAGCATGCATTATGAGTCGTACTTAGTTATATCAACAAACACGATGTGTATGTTATTTGGCGGCTGCAGCGCTGATTTTCGTGTCTGGCCATTTGTGCCAATAGTCAACTGCAATATTGTTGGCACATCTTGCCTTGTGCACTTTTTACTTTGCTGGCAAGTTTGTCACTAGTTCTCAAACGGGACAGTGATGGGCTATTTGAGTGATTTTCGCTGACACAAGAACGAAGCACTTATGTAATTACCATTCTGCAGTGATATTGGAACCTCGACCAACATAAACGCTGCAATGAAGCCCCTTCTCTCGACTTCGTTTTTGTTCTGCATAATATTTACTCTCCTCCTTTAATACCTGTCTGTAACTAAATACTTTGGCCATTCATGGCGCTGAGGTTATAGTATAAAGAAATCAAAGTGTGCGTTCAAAAAAGTCAAGCAAAATAATCTAGGAAGAGGCTAATATTTCAATCTGAGTGCAATATATTGCACAGTTTATAGCCCAGTACAGTGTATATTTATCTGATCAGGTGAATTACTACAGAGTTACCCCAACAGTTAATGAAGCACACACAAACATGCGTAAATTCTACTAAAATACAAATGTTCACTTTCGATAGATTGTATTCGTCTAATCGCCAGAAGCTCACAATAGTCACGTGATTCGCAAGGTAACTTCAATTTGACAATGAATTCATTCTGCTAACACAAGAGGAAATTACTCATTTTATTGTCAAAGCTTCGATCAGTTAGTGCTTCAATTATGTGTTGATGTATCTCGTAGTAACTCCCCTGACGAGATACAGCAACATATGGCCGACAGTAAGCCATGTTCGTGTCCGAGTTTTTTTTTTTTTTTTTTGGGGTTGAAATTCTTAAGAGAAAAACATTGATCTGAATAGAATATGTTAAAATAACGAAAATCTGCGATGGATTTAGTTGTCTATCTTTTACAGTAGCTTACAGGACATTGCTGAACCAACCTTAGCATTTTATGGCTGTTTGGTTTATTAGGAAATTTTATGGTCAGCAGTTTATGATTACCCCGGAACGGTGGGGCCTCGAATCTGAGTAGATGATATCAAAAAAGGCATTTCGGAATTACAAACCACATTCGCAACGCGTAAGCCACAGACGCCGATATAGATAGAAGAACCTAAAAGGTGTAGTGTCTACGCAATGAACGTTTTGTGGGTTGTGTGGTCGTTGGAAAGGTGTGTGTGTGTAACGGCTGTAATGGCAAATTTCCAGCCCCACCCCCCCCCCCCCCCCCCCCCCCCCCCCCCCCGAGTATGCATTGTGTTTCTATTATTATTACTGTATACTATTTATTTCAAAAAAGCCTTATTACAAATTCTCAAAAACAGTCTTACGACGAATCTTTGGACCCATCAAAGAAACAACCAGCGGAGATTGGAGAGCCAGAAGCAACGGCATGCATAATCTGTTTAAATCATCATTGATCACTGGTATCAGTGTTTACGTCACTCATGCAAAAAATGCCACACGTGAAAGCCCCCAGTTATTAGTACTGTGATGGTAACTGTGCACGCACACTTTCACTAACGAAGCGATGGGGATCAAAATATCACATGCAAATTAATCACACCTCGCCAACGCACGTCACACGCAATGGAATTAATGATATGTGTTCAAAATCTGTGCTGCATCCACAGACAACAGTGGACGAATGCGCTCCTGCCTGGAAGATCAATGATGACAACTTCTTCTACCTGCATCAGTTCATGGAGTCTCAGCCGGAGTTGAATCTCCGAAGTGCCAAAGTCAGAGAAGAGATGGAGGATATACTGAGGTTTTGGTGTGTATCCTCTTTTGTTTTACTAGAAGTAATGTAAAAGTGAAGGGCCCTTTTCCACCCCTTTAGGCCTATTTTGTATATCTTCTTCTTCTTCTTTGCGTTCGGTTTCGTATGCTCAGATCAGACCATCGGGTGGGTTGCCTCTATGAACTCGCATGTCAGCTGCAGGTCCTGCATGGTTCCCCATAGCCTGCTCTGCACACTCTGCATATAAGGTTAGATCTATATTTTATAGACCATCGGCCCTGGGTGGATGATGTGGTCAGCATCACGCCGGCCGCTGTTACTTTCAAAGACTATTCCTGGTACCCACTCAAAGTTGGCTCGACCTGAGATCCAAGGTCATTTTTGAGATTGGTCCAGCGCAGTCAGAACTCGAATCCATCACCTTCAGATCTGGAAGCTAGCGTCTAGCGATAATGTAATATCATAAAACATATTTATGGCGTATCTTCTTCTTCTTGGTTGAAGCTATTTAGGTTAAAACAGGCTAGACTATAACCATCTAATAGACAGGGAACACAATACCGATCTAGTTTAAGACAGACGACACTATAACTATCTAGGATGAAACAGCAGACACTATAACCATTTAGTTCAAGAGAGTCTAAAACCATCTAGTTACTAGTTGAAGACACGAGAAATTAAAACCATCTAGGTGAAAACAGGAGGTAGTAAAACATCTAGTTACAGACAAGGTTTGTTGCGTATCCTTTACAGGACGTTGCAGAACCCCCCTTACCCCACCCCGAGCCGCTGGCTGTTGTGTGGTTTTTCTAGGCAAGTTTACGTCCAGTAGTTTGCCATTGCTTCTGGACGGTCGGCTTTCTTGAAAACCACTGTCGAAACCAACGCAAGGCGTATGGTCCGCAGGTGGGATCAAACCCGGAATCCCGGCATTACGAAGCATTCGCATCGACTTTGCCACAGAGCCGACTAGTTACAGACAAAAGGCACTCAAATCATCTAGTTCAAGACAGGGGAGCCTACAACTATTTAGGTTAACACAGGAGACCCTATAACCATACATGCCATTGTTCTCAATCTGTGGGTCAAGACCCTTTTAGGGGTCGAACGAGAGTGATGTAAAGCCATTGAAAAACGACAAATTTACTAAAGTTATGAAGCAGCATGGTTGGGGGTCACCACAACATGAGGAACTGTGTTAAAGGGCCTCTGCGTTAGAAAGGTTGAGAACCATTGATCTAGGTAAAGACAGAAGAGACTATAACCAGCTCCTCAAAGGAACAATCAGTAAAAGGTACTCTGGGGTGGCTTCTGAATCAGAGGTCTGTTCATTGGGAATACTTAATATGCAGCGGAGTCGATTGTCGTAACAAAACATGACATTACATATCAGAAAGGGAGCTATTTGGTCTCGAGGCTTCAAGTGCTGGAGGTCCCGCGTTCAAGCCCCCGGTGAAGGCTGATATTTTTTCGCGTGGACTTTTAGTAATTTGCCCTGGTCTCTGGGTAGTATGATCTGACGCCTGTGTGTATTTTTGTATCGTAAAAGAAAATTCCTTTAGCAGTTGAAAGTCGAAAAAAAAGAGTAGCCTAACAGTGCTGCCCGGGCAACATTTGGAGTTAAAAATCTACGCAAATGATCCTCGCCGGTGCTACGGAGTTCGTGCACTGCGCTGAGAAACTTCGGACTCAAGCTTGAGTCAGAAGTAGAACGGAGCACTTATGGGTTACGACCATTATGCCATGATGTTGATCCGTTGTTTAAACCATAAACTATAAACAATTATGAATAATAAATGCAATGTTTGTCCCGTTAAAGGTTAGACCTGGGTGTGGACGGATTTTATATTCGTGATGCTGACTACCTGTTCGAAGACTACGACCTTCGAGATCAACAGGACAACGTAACCAGTCAGGTGAGCTCCGCGTTCATTGAGTTATGAGTTATGAATTAAATTATCTTCACAGCACTCCGGACACAAGGCCCCCACTTTCATTCTCAACAAATTCATCAGAGTCGTTGGGTTAATAGTGCCAGTCCTATATTGGTTAAGAAGACTTCGTGTGCGTTTGGAGTGCTTCTCATGCTTGGCTGTGCGGATCTTTACTCCCAGTTCACGTATTCTAAGCAGTAATGTGGACACGTTGCTTCCAAAATCCTCAAAACGTCCTGTCTCTAAAGGCTATGACAATGTCTGCGTGATCCATGGGCCGCCATCTTCAATTAATGCAGCACCTGCCAGTCTATCAGCTCTTTCATAACCAACAACGCTTGCATACTTGGGGACGAATATAAAAGTAACTGCACACACAGGAGAGTTTTGAAACGACCCAAACCACTGTTTGCGAAACCAGTCTGCCTCGACCTGCCGGATCATGCTCAAAGAATCACTCAGCACACACACACGGCAATAGTTCTGTGATCCCAGCCACAAGAAAGCTTGTGTCACCGCCATCACCTCCATCGTCATGCTGCTGGTAGTCATGGAGAAGGCACCGCTGTCTTCTTGCACTCTTCTGCCTGAGGAGCAAACTGTAAATGCCTATGCACTCTTATGTCCTCCTATAACGGACCCGTCTGTGAAGATCACCACATCTGTCTCATTAGTGTTCATTTAGTTTGGTTAAGATATTTTATCAATAGCCTCCGTGGTATAGCGGCTAGACGCTCGCCCGCTGATTCGAAAGTCATAGGTTCGGTTCCCAGGCCGACCCAGCCTTGAGTGGGTACCAGGTACAGGCCTGGGAAGTAAAGGCGGCCGGCGTAATGGCAATCCTATTACCTACCAAGTGCCGTTTGGTCTATAAAATATAGGCCTACCTCTGTATATCCAATACGTCTAAAGCCGTGAAAAAGGGTCATTTACAAAGTTACCTTTATGATATTTTGTCGGTGTGTGTGTGGCTTATGTTATATATTGAATGTTAAATCAAGAATTGACATCACAACACTCGAGACACTCCCATAAGTGCCCAGTTCTCATCTTCAGCAGCAAGCGAAGAGTTAAAATTCTGATGGTACCAGTAACCGTCTGATTGTATATCCGTCTCATGCTTTTCCTAAGTGTTGAGCGTCGGCCAGATCCCTGGTAACTCTTCGCAGCTCGATTCTCCTTAGACCGTAATGATCTATCTGTGCCTCCGCACTGTTCACTCCCTCCCAAAGGGCCCTCACAATATTTAACTTGGCTCACATCAGTTCACTACCAAGTGGTGCAGACCCAGCCAGTCTATCCGCCTGCTCATTTCCCAACACACCGGCATCACCTGGATAAAATTATCCAAAGGATGCTAACTACAAGGGAACTCTGAAGTGATGCTTGCCACTCTGCACAATGCATGCCTGTTTTCTCCTTTCTCAAAATGCCCTGTGTGTCAGTTACAATTACGTCATGCGTGTACAGCTGACTGTCAAGCCAGAGGAAGGCAGCAGAGACTGCCTCCACCTCCATTCTCAAATTAGACGTCTGTGGCTTAGACGTTGCGAATGCGCTTGGCAATGCCGGTGCTGAGTTTAATCCTAGCTGCGGGCAATTTAGCAGCAGACCGCCTTGCGTTGACTTCAACTGTGGTATCGAGAGCTGATCGTTTAGAAGCAATGCCAGACTACCGAATGTAAAATATGCCTTGTAAAACCAGCAACAGCCAAACAGTGCAGGGGTTTACACTGCAAAGTCGAGTAAAGGATCTTCTTCTTCTTCTTCTTCACTTCCTCTTTTACCGCTGTGGGTGTCGAGGGAGATATAAGGTTCTGTTTCTAGCTCTTCTGGCCGCCTCGACCATAGGCACATCATGCTGTTATAGAGTTTTTCTGATGTTATCATTTCATTTGTTCTTGGTCTACCTCGTGCTCTACGTTCTTATTCTCTTTCCATGTATGCTTTGTATGGTATGGTGTCACATGGCATTCTCTCTAAGTGGGCAAACCATTTCACCTGCTGTTTGTAAAGGATACACAACTAATTTTCATGTTGTTCTTTTTCTTTTACGTATTGTTCGAAACATTAAATGTCTGTTAGATAACACTGTTGTTTGCCTTTAGGAATGTGGTGGTACATCTAACAGAAAATACACAAAGGGACTCACAGAAGTCTTCGACATGCTAGCCAGATGGAGGGCCTTTCTGGACGACTATGGGAATGAAACCAGCCAAACAAGGTAAGATAGTCGTAGTATTCGTCAGGTTTCAACTTCACCGCAATTGGGTCGCGCCATATTTGCTCGATTACTGTGCCAGTGCGAAAAAAAAAAATTTCCCTCACTGTTCCATCTGAAAAACTTGTGAACAAACAATGAACCTCGGCACAATTCAGAAATGTGCGCAAGCAATAAATGCATATAACAGTTTCTAGGGGCGCCAAAGCCAACAATAGTGGCCCCAAGAAATACAGTTGGTCTTTGATGGAAGAAGTCGGGCACGATAAGTTGGCTATACACACGTAGAATTATTACATAAGATATTTCGCCAGTGCAAATGTAAACTGGCTACCTGCCATATTGAATGCAACGACTCAACCGCTGCACAAGTGAAAGGAATTCAACATTAATAATTCAAAGAAACTGCCTTAGCAAAGCGCTGTCGGAAGTAAAAATAACTTCAAAGCTTAACGGTCTGCTATGCCTTATCCAAGGTAAGATAATGGTATACTAATTGTTCTAATACTCCATGACGTGTGGCGTTGGTTGTCATGTTTATGTGCAACTGTTTCATGTACTGTCAATCAGGTCTCATAAAGGTGATCTTCCATAACATTATGTGAAACTGTCCGGCATCTTCTCTCTCTGTCTCTCTCTCTGCCTCTTTTGCCGTGCAACTTTCTCGCTGTCACGATATACTTCAGGCTTCTCCTTCTCATAACATGACCAAAGAAAGTAGAAAGTGTCCGTCACATGTAGGCTACAATTGTCTTTGTGAACGAATTTCTTTCAGGACATCATCACTTTTCAACGGGGTACTAAACAACATAAAATATTAATCAAACGTTAACAGTAGTATTAATTTTCAGCGCTTTTTTTCAGTTGAGGGAATTACTGATGTCATTCTGATGTGATTCATCTGTGTAAATTAGCGATCAATAATTATTATGGTTTTCGTCTTCGTGGTAAATGTTGATATTGATGACATCACTTCTGTTCATTATCGGGCCAGACACAGCAACCACATTGTTTGCCATATAAATCTGCACGTTCGTTGTCTTGAACACGCGCATGGCCTGGCACAAAGATGAAGGTTAAGCAAGCCTTTCGCGAAGTGATTAGTGATACAACCTATTCTTGTCTCATGAAACCGACCTGGATACTCTTAGTAATATTTATCCAGTGACAGTCAGCAGTATGCAGGCATATGTGGCCTCTTGACTATCCAACTATGCTAAGCCCTTTTTACAGCCATGGTTTTTGTGTGTCACGCTGCTAGTTGTAACAACAAAGGTGCCATTCATCTCATCGATTATTTTCCCTCTTCAGCTCCCTGTAAGCATCCATTCACGTCCTTCGCCAGAATTACTAATCCAATTGTATAAACTATACCATTAGTTGCATCTGTGTTTTTCTCAATCAAAGTCTGGGCTAACGTGTTTGCTATGCCATGACTCGTAGTGCAAGGAACCAACAGTCTGTATTCAAGAGAATGAGATCTGTAAAGCTGATGCAGACGCAACACTCAGGTTCTGGAGCAGGACTGTAGTTTAGTAGTGGACGAGCAACCAGAACTTTCCGCCAGAGTGTACAGCTGGTGAACGCAAAGAAGAAGAAGAAGAATCAAACACCATCGAGCTATTTAGTCAACGTTTGTAGTAGCGGTTCCATTAGATGTACTCATTTTCCCATTCCATAACTCTTTTTTTTTTAATTTAATATAGGCCGGTGCCGTGCTATGATATGAATCGATCTCATCCGGCGGCACCGCAAGGTACAGCATAAGCATCGAATCCAAATACAATATGAACACTGAAGGGCCCACGACTCTAAGATTTGCATCATACTGAGAACATCTATCACATGGCCCGGATTACATTGCTTATTTTGTTAATTTTTTTCTCCCGTATTTTTTTTCACGATGCTCCCAATGTATAGATATATCTTCTTCTTCTTTCCTTTAATCTAGTTGTTGTCAGATATTCTTCGTTCTTCGAATTCTTGTCAGTAAAACTGTGAGTAAAATTTCCTTACTCCTTGTTCCACAGAATCATGTTCGCCGACGTAGACGGTTCATATGAACATGTGATGAACTACTATGGATTGTTCAGTCGAGACGGCGTCCATTTTCCTCTCAACAAATTTAGCTTACAACTGAATATCACCGCAGGGGGACAGAACATCAAAACAATGGTGTCCAACTGGATGGCCAATATGCCGAAAGAGCACTGGCCAAACTGGATGGTAAATTTTTCTTCTCCTGCCACCGTGTAAATGCTTTTTGAGATACCTTGTTTTGTGTTGTAAGTTTCTAAGTTGAAACGTGCTGTTATTTCTTGTTATATGTTATTCTTTGCTATTTATGATGTGTTGCAACTGTTATTGCAGTATTACATGGGATGTGTTGTTTCGTGAGGTATGCTGGTTTAATTAAGAAGCGTGAGGTTACTTGCAATTTGCTGCTACATGATGTATTGTTACTTTGGTGTGCTATTACTTGGCAAATATTGTCACACACAATACACGTATATCTGTTTTTATGACGCTAGATGAGATCTGTTACTCAAAGTTTAACTTGAAAAGAAAGGATTTTACCGGAGATTTAGATACAAGTTATATGTTGTAACTTGAGGTAAAGCTAACAGATTTATGTTATTTCTTGATGTTTAGCTAGTATATTTATGTTGCTAAGTGAGGTTTAGCTAGAAGAGATATATGTTGTCACTTAACGTTTAGAAAGTAGATATATGTTGCTACTCGAGGTTTAGCTAGAAGAGATATTTTGTTATTTTAGGTTTAGGTAGTAGAAATATGTTGCTAATGGAGGTTCAGCTAGTAGATATGTGTTGTTACTTGATGTTTAGCTAATCAGATATTTGTTGTTAGATGAGATTTAGCTTGTAGCAGGGCTGAATTTACGCATAATCTAACAAAGCTACATATTAGGGCCTCACAATCTAGAGGAGCCTCAACAAATTACTTTTTTTCCATACATGCAATTTTATTTTAAAAGAACTTTTAAGAGGGTTATATAATATAGTTTCAGTAATTTTGAAAACCTATTTTGTACGATTTCTTTTACTTAAAGTTAAACGATAATGTATTCCCATCATCCATAAATTTAAAATGCTTATATATTGAAATTATTTTTATAATATTAGCTTTTGTAGTTTAAAACAGTCGGGTCTGTAGAGTTTTATATAGCTTAGGGTAATGGTTCTCAAGATAGCGACACTTGTTTGGATTGAACGACCCTTTCACAGGGGACACCTAAGACTATCGGAAAACAGAAATTCATTGAAGTTATGAAGGAAAATAATTGTTTGGGCGTCGTCACAACATGAGGGAGTATTAAGGGGTCGCGGGATTAGGAAGTTTGAGAACCACAGGCTTTGGGTCTCATCAATTACCATTGATAGTAGTGGTATTTTGTTACTTGAGGCGTTACTGCATGGATTATTCTGTTCTTTAAAGTGTTACTGCATGGAGTATTTTCTTTTTTGAGGTGTTACTGCAAGGAGTAATTTGGTAATGGCGGTGTTTAAGTCTTGTTTGTTTACCGGTTGTATTTGTAAGCTCCGGTAGAAAATCTTTGTTGTTTGTCCATTTAGACTTTGGCTTTGTGCCATAGCCTGAAATTTTTCGCATACATGTGTTTTACTGACTTTTTTTCTGTGCAATTGCTTTTCCTTGTAGCTCGGGCATGTGTACTCCAGCTGCGAAAGGAAGCGCAGCTAGTAGACATCTACGAGATCTTTGTTGGGGAGGCTGTGTTAGTAAATAATAAAGGCAGTCATAAAACTAACATCTCAGCCCGACACCAAATAAACATTTATCGACAAACTGGTGAATTTCCCAAACATAATATCAAAAACGATAAATGAAACATAATTTTTTGTCTTAAAGATTCAGACTAATAAATCAAACACAGACGCATTTATTCACTTGTTCAATTTGTTTCCGCGTCAAACATAAGTCCACCCTTACATTAGAGTTGAAAACAATGAACTCACGTCATCTGTTTATGACACAGCAATACATTTTAGTTCCTTTACCCACAATGGGTTTTCCCTAAAAATATACGTGTTCCCTTCTATTGCCAATGAATCATGAAGATTGCGGTTAAGTTCAGAATAGATGAATTATTCTCTAAATTATTTAATGTTTTTCTCCTGTGGTTTTCCGGGCCCTATTGAGAAGTTTTGAGGTTTTGATGGTCTGAGGTTTTGAACAACTGATTAACATCATGGCACACGGGTAGTAATCCATAAGTGCTCCGTTCTTCTTCAAACTCAGTTCTGAGTCCGAAGAAGCTCAGCATCGTGCACAGGCTCTGTAAAGGGGTTTCTATAATTTTAACAGGGTGGAGATGACCGTAGTGAAAGACTTGCGGACCGACTTGGAGAAAACGCAGGCCCATATCTTATACTGGCCATGCTGTTACCTGGAACACCATATTTTTACTATGGCGATGAAATCGGTAAGTACATACCAGGAAAACAGTGTTAAAAGCAACAGTAAATTAACTCTTTTATTTCAGTATGGGGTTTACAGGTTCTAAACCGCAGTCGTTGGCGCACCAGGACCATTACTCATACTGGTCTACGCCTCTCCGAAGTTATCATAGAAACAGGCTCTCAGCTGCGAGCTCTCTATGTCTGCTTCAGAGGCGGAGAACAAATAATTTGCGCAAAAAGAAGCCATCTGTGCAACAGAAATAGACACTAAACTCAACTGGAAGAACAAGACCAAACTCCAGAAGTGGAAGAACAACGAGACAAGAATGAAAAACAAAGGAAAGAAAGATACAAAAAAAAGGAAGAAAATGAGAAAGAAAGGAAGAGAAGACAGAACAGAAGAAAAGAAAGAAATAAAGAAAGAAAGAACAGAAATAAGGCAAGAAAGAAAGAAGAAAGAAAGCAAGCAAGCAGGCAAGCAAGCGGAGTCAATTCAAAGCAAGCAAGCAAGCAGCAAGCATCCAAGCCAAGCACGCACGAAAGAAAGAAAGACAGAAAGAAAGAAAGAAAGAAGAAAGCAAGCAAGCAAGCAAGCAGCAAGCACGCAGCAAGCTAGCAAGCAAGCAAGCATCAAGCGAGCAAGCAGCAAGCAAGCAAGCAAGCCAAGCAAGAAAGAAAGAAAGAAAGAAAGAAGAACGAAAAGAAAGAAACAAAAGAAAAGAAAGAAAAAGAAAGAAAGAAAGAAGAACGAAAGAAAGAAAGAAAGAAAGGAAGAGCAAAAGAAAGAAAAAGGAGAATTGAGAAAGACGAAGACAAGAAGAAAGACGAAGAAAGCAAGCAGCAAGCAAGCAATCAAAGCAAGCAAGCAAGCACATCAAGCCGCAAGAAATAAAGAAAGAAAGAGAAGTAAGAAAGAAGAGAAGCAGAAAGAAGAAAGAAAGAAAGAAGAACGAAAGAAAGAAGAAAAGAAACTAAGAAAAGCACGAACGAACGAAAGAAAGGAAAAGAAAGAAAGAAAGAAAGAAAGAAAGAAAGAAAGAAAGAAAGAAAGACTGAAAAAATTAAAAAATAAAGGCAAAAATAACGGCATAAAAAAAAGAAAGAAAGAAAGATAGAAAGAACGAGACAAAAAATAAAAAAAGAAGGGAAAAACAAAGAATAAAAAGAATCAGAATGACAGACTGGAAGAAGTAATACAGTTTTTTAAAATAAAGAAAAACAGAAAAAAACTAAGTTAGAAAGAAAGAAAGAAATTGAGAAAGAAAGGAAGGAAGAAAGAAAGATCAAAATCACAGGACAAAGAAAAAAGTAAGAGAGAAGAAAAAAGAAGAAAGAAGAAAGAAGAAGAAAGCAAAGAAGAAGACAAAAGAAAGAAAGAGAAGACAGACAGAAGAAACGAAGTAAAGAAAGAAAGAAAAGAAAGAAAGAAAGAAGAAATAACGAAAGAAAAGAATTAGAAGAAAGAAAGAAAGAAGAAGAAAGAAGAAAGAAAAGAAAAGAAGAAGAAAAATAAATAAAAGAAAGAATGAAAAGAGAAAAAGTATACAAGAAAAAGAAGTATAAAAGAAAGAAGAAGAATAAAAGAAGAAAAATCAAAGAAAGAAATTAAAGAATAAAGAATTAATACTGAAATAAAAAAAAAAGAGAGAAGAATGACAAGAGAGAAGAATAAAAGCGAGAAGAAGAGATGAAGAAGAAGAATACTAAGAAGAAGAAATAAAGAAATAAGAAGAACAAGAATTAAGAAGAAGAAGAAGAAAGAATAATAAGAAGAAAAGAAGAAGTAAAGACTAAGAATAGAAGAAGAAGAAGAAAGAACTAAGAAGAAAGATAGAAATCAAGAAAGAAAGAAGAGAAAGAAGAAGAAGAAAAGAAGAAAGAAGAAAGAAAAGAAGAAGAAGAAGAGAAGAAAGAAAAGAAAGAAGAAAGAAAGAATAGAAAGAAATAAAGAAAGAGAAGAATGAAAGACAAAGAAGAAATGAGAAGAAGAGAAAAGAAGACGAAGAAGACTGAAGAAACAGAGAAGTAAGAAGAAGAAGAAGAAGAAAGAAAGAAGAAGAAGAAATGAAAGAAGAAGAAGAAGAAGAAGAATGAGAAGAAGAAGAAGAAATGAAAGAAAAGAAAAAGAGAAGAAGAAGAGAAAAGACGAAAGAAGAAAAGAAGAAGAAGAAGAAAAAAAATAAGAAGAAGAAAGTAAAGAAAAAGAAAGAAGAATGAAAGAACAGAAGAAACGAAAGAGAATGAGAAGAAGAAGAAAAAGAAGAAGAAGATGAAAGAAAGAAAACGTAAGAAGAAGAAAGAAGAAGAAGAAGAAAGAAAGATGAAAGAAAAGAAAAAGAAAGAAGAATAAGAAGAAAAAGAAAAAAGAAAAGAAGAAGAGAAGGAAAACCCCCGGTGAAGAGAAAGAAAAAAAGAAGAAGTGGAAGAAAACAAGAAGAAGAACCACTGAAGAAAGGAGAAGAAGAGAAGTCGTAAGAGTCGAAGAAGAAGAAGAAGAAGAAGAGAAGAAAGTCCGAAGAAGAAGAAGAAAAGAAGCAAGAAAGAAGAAGAAAGAAGAAGGAAGAAAAGAAGAAGAAGAAGAAGTAAAAAGAAGAAGAAAAAGCAGAAGAAAAGAGAAGGAAGAGAAAGAAGAAGAAGTCCAGAAGAAGAAGAACAAACCAGAACTTTACACCAGAAAGACAGAAAAGAAAACGCGAAGAAGAAAGAAGAATAAAAGAAAGAAGAATAAAAGAAAGAAGAAAAGAAAAAAGAAAGAAGAAAGAAGAAAAGAAGAAAAGATTAAAAAGAAAAGAAAAGAAAAGAAAGAAGAAGAAAGAAAGAAAGAAAGAAGAAAGAAAGAAAAAGAAAGAAAAAGAAAGAAAGAAAGAAAAAAGAAAGAAGAAAGAAATAAAGAAAGAAAAGAAAGGAAAGAAAGAAAGAAGAAAGAAAGAAGAAAAAAGAAGAAAGAAAGAAAGAAAGAAAGAAGGGAGAAGAAGAAAGAAAAAAGAAAGAAAGAAGAAGAAAGAAAAAAGAAAGAAAGAAGAAAAAAAGAAAGAAAGAAAGAAAGAAAGAAAGAAAGAAAAAAAGAAAAGAAAGAAAAGAAGAAAGAGAAAGAAAGAAAGAAAGAAGAAAGAAGAAGAAGAAGAAAGAAAAGGAAGAAAAGAAAGAAAGAAAGAAAGAAAAGAAAGAAAGAAAGAAAGAAAGAAAGAAGAGAAAGAAAGAGAAGAAAGAAAGAAAGAAGAAAAGAAAAAAGAAAGAAAGAAAAAGAAAGAAAGAAGAAAGAAGAAGAAAAGAAAGAAAGAAAGAAAGAAAGAAGAATGAAAGAAAAGAAAAAAGGAAGAAGAAAAGAAAAAGAAAAAGAAAGAAGAAAGAAAAGAAAAGAAGAAAAAGAAAAGAAAAAAGAAAGCAAATGAAAGAAAGAAAAAAATAAAGAAGAATGAAAGAAAAGAAAAAGAAAGAAGAATGAAAGAAAAGAAAAAGAAAGAAGAATGAAAGAAAAGAAAAAGAAAGAAGAATGAAAGAAAAGAAAAAGAAAGAAGAATGAAAGAAAAGAAAAAGAAAGAAGAATGAAAGAAAAGAAAAAGAAAAAGAAAGAAGAAAGAAAAAAGAAAGAAAAAAGAAAAGAAAAAGAAAAAGAAAAGAAGAAAAGAAAGAAGAAAAGAAAAAGAAAGAAGAATTAAAGAAAAGAAAAAGAAAGAAGAATGAAAGAAAAGAAAAAGAAAGAAGAATGAAAGAAAAGAAAAGAAAGAAGAATGAAAGAAAAAGAAAGAACAATGAAAGAAAAGAAAAAGAAAGAAGAATGAAAGAAAAGAAAAAGAAAAAAGAAGGAAAGAAAAGAAAAAGAAAAAAGAATGAAAGAAAAGAAAAAGAAAGATAGAATGATATTAAAGAAAAAGAAAGAAAGAATGAAAGAAAAGAAAAAGAAAGAAAGAATGGAAGAAAAGAAAAAGAAATAAATAATGAAAGTAAAGAAAAAGAAAGAAAGAAAGAAAGAAAGAAAGAAAAATGAAAGAAAAGAAAGAAAGAAAGAAAAAATGAAAGAAAAGAAAGAAGAAGAGAAAGAAAGAAAGAAAAATGAAAGAAAAGAAAAAGAAAGAAAAAAGAAAGAAAAGAAAAAGAAAGAAAAAAGAAAGATAGAAAGAAAGAAAAAAAGAAAGAAAGATAGAAAGAAAGAAAAAGAAAGAAAGAAAGAAAGACAGAAAAAAGAAAGAAAGATAGAAAGACAGAAAGAAAGTAAGAAAGAAAGATAGAAACACAGAAAGAAAGAAAGAAAAAGACAGAAAGAAAGAAAATGTAGTTAAAATCATCAGCCAGGAAAACTGACATTGGGATGATATTTGCAGGTCTGCAGGCTGTGAATACAACAAATGGAACACAGGAACACACTATGGCCCTGCCGATGAGAGGTCCCATGCAATGGAGCAACACGACATCGGCTGGGTTTTGCTTTCAATACTGTGTGCATCAATGGATGAAAGTCCACCCAGAATATAAGAATCAAATGAACGTTGAGGTGAGTTTATGCTTCAATGCACTCTTTGTTATATATATCATCATCATCCTTAGCATCATCATCATCATCATCATCCTCCTCCTCATCATCATTATCATCGTCATCATCATCATCCTCCTCCTCCTCCTCATCATCATCATCATCATCGTCATCATCATCATCATCATCATCATCCTCCTCCTCCTCATCATCATCATCAATCAGCATGTCCTGTACAGAACGTCGGTCTCATCACAGCATGTTTAAAGGTCTCTCTCTCTCTCCTCTCTCTCTCTCTCTCTCTCTCTCTCTCTCTCTCTCTCTCTCTCTCTCTCTCTCTCTCTCTCTTCTTGATATTCATTTTCTATGGTCAAGTTGGTCGACATCTGCATTCTTGTCATATAAGCATACTATCTATCGCCGATCTCTCCGACAACCTTTTCTCCCCGCCCCCCCCCCCCCCCCCCTCCTAACAAAAGAAGGGAGAAAAGAAGAAGATTTTTTTTTAATGTATCTAGAAACCATGAGTTGTAAACCCTTTAGCTCGGTACTATGGATATCGCAACCCTTCGGCATTGATTCCATTATAGGTACCGTTAATCTGGGAGAAATGTGGCTTTTCTGCCTACCCCCGGGAGTGAACCCGGACCACAAGGAGTTCGTCACGAAAGAAGAAGATATGCCAGTCAACACCTGCTTGGTACGTTCAGCATGGTGCCACTGGGAAGGCTGTTGCGTTGAAGGACTGAGCACGACTGGGGCGTATCGATGTGCTAGGATGTTCCTGCTCGTTTCCCAACACACCAGCACGACCTGGAGACGGTATAAAGAAGACGCTAATGGGTAAACGGGGTTGTCTGGAATCACTGTATGACCTGAGCGAACAATACACTTAACGTCCATCACAAACTGGTCGATAACACATCACAGAGCTAACAGGTTTTTGTCGCAAACACTTCACGTTCAAAGTCCACTCCAGTCTATCTAGCACTTGCTATGTCCAACTCTCCTGTTTTTTTCTTCCTCTTTCAAGTCCGCTGTCAGTTTCTCGTGGCTTTTTCTATGTTTAGAGTTATGTCGTCATGATTTCTCTTCTTTTTGTCGTGATAGTGGAACCTTTAATTCGTGTCTGGGTACAAACACGAGTGATAAACATCAACACACCTACTAGTGCTATATACTGAACTGGTATCTGACATCTGCCATATAGGATGGTATGGTAAACCTGTAGGTCGCAGCCCGGAGGGGACAACCTGAATGATCGATCAAACTGCCTGACTGTTTCTGCTCGGAGACAGATTCATGATTTTAAAGCCGGCAGATTCGAGTCCCGGTGTGTTCACTACGACATTCACTATTTCTGGTCTCTTGTGTATACCAGTGGCGAGACGGGCGTGCAATGACTGTAATTGCAGCTCACACTTATACTCTCAACAGCGAAGCGAAGATGAGGAAAATATCATGTGATACTCTTTCTAATATAATCGTTACTTTCCAACGCTTACACACACGACTTGGTCACACCTTGTCACTAGTGTATAGTTCAATCTTTGTTTCCTTCCTCCCTTCTACGAATGCCAACGAATACTTCCGATTTATTATGTTATGCATGGTATGTCTTATATTGCAGGCACAGAAAAGGAACCCGGAGTCTATATGGAACTTGTTCCACAATCTGACTTTACTGAGGAATAATACGCCTTCTTTCGAGTACGGAGATTACATCCCTGCTATTCAAGATGATGAAGTCTTCTCCTTTGTCCGGGAGTATGACGGTAAAAAGGGGTAAGTTGGCTAGTTCTATATCGGCGACCGGGTCGCACATTGACTCACCGGTTGTAGACTTTGTCGCCGGACAGGACAGTGTATGGGTCTCCTATGATTGCATCAACACTGCCGGAGTCCTTTTCAGGGCTACCCGGTGGCGAGCAATGCTAAGCAATTTTATGTGGAGCACATAACCTAGTCACAATTATAACCTAAAGCTCCCTCTTCGGAAATGCTGGTTGAACTTGACAATGTTTTTCTAGCAAAGCTACCACTCAAACTACTTAGATCTAGCAAGCCTGCCCACTCTAACTACGATTTCGAAAAGAAAACTGGCCTCAAGAGCAGCGTGTGCAGAGCAAGCTTTGTGTAACCATTCAGGACCTGTTGCTATCATGCGGGTTCGTAGAGGCAACCCACCTGATGGTCTGACATCAGCATATGAAACCGATCGCAGATAAGAAAAAGAAGAAATGATTTTTTTAATTGGGTACATTTTTTAAGGGTTGTTATATATATATATATTTTTAATTTCCATCACAGCTACCTGGTGGCACTGAACTTCGCTGGCAAAGATGTACAGAAAGACTTTCGAGGCGTCCATCCATCGATCCCAGCCAGCGCTACAGTGGAGATAGTCACGGGCAAGGGAGCTCGTCACACCAAGTCAGGCAGTGCTCACCTCAACAGTCTAGCACTGGCACCTTTTGAGGGGATTGTCGTCTCATGGGATTACAAAGCCAAGGAGCTCTGATCAGAGGGCCCCTCGTTAGGTATCATGCAATATTTTGACTGTCACAATGTTGAAATGCACATGCGCAATTAGGAAATGGCGGGTAAAGTAGGGTAAAACTGATGTTAGTCTCCCCATACCCCGCCCTTATACACACTAACTCATTTCTGATTGGTAGTTCCCGAGCTCCGTGGCCTTCGCGCAAGGTTACGGGGGTGTTCCGCAATGCCGTTGATATCGCGTGTTGTATATGCCAGCACGCCAGCGCTTTTAACGCTCCAAAAACACGGAGAAACTGGGTCTAACACAACCCCCTAGAGAGTGCTGCTACCTATGTCACAGGCATTCTCTTTCTCGAAATAAAAACGTAAATGCAAGACACCACAGAAAGCCAATAACATAGCGGCACACACCCATAACCTTCAGGAAAGTCGACCAGCCCAACAAACTTGTTAATGAAAAGTGACCTACTCTATTTGGGAAGACTAACGTCAAACTAACCAAAAGTAGGACAGGACGATTGGAAGAAAAAAAAAAGGGGGGGGGAGGGGCGGTTGGGAGAAGCGTGTCCACATTATTTCTAAAACTGCGATAACTGGGAGTAAAGATTTGCACAGCCTGGCTAGAGAGGCACCTCGGACATGCAAAAAGTCTCCAGCATAGGACGCACTATTAACCGCGGGATGCTGATGTGTATGTTAAATGGAGAATCTGAGCACCTATGGGCGTGTCTGGAGCAGTGTGAAGATTACCCAACTCAGGAGAATCTGTTGCTTACTTTAACGACAGCAGCAGCACCAACACAAATTACAAATTCTCCATTGTTACCACGTTAGTGCCAGCAGTTTTCTGTCGCAAGTATTTTACTGTGCTATATGGAGCCACAGCAATCACAGCCCGTGGCGATGGCGAGTGTGACTGTCACGACGCGATCGTATTAAGGAAAAAGATTTCCACGTTTATAGCATGGGATTACTGAAACGCTGTTGACATCGAGCATTTACAACATGCTTCTCCTTAGACCCTTTGTTTTTAACGCAGCTGTTCCCCCCCCCCTCCTTTCCTTTAATTCCAGTTCTCGTCCCGATTTACCCATTCCCACTCAACCAGGGGCGTCTTAACTCATGGGCCTGCTGGACATTTGCCAGGGGATCCCACGATCGTTGTGACCATATGCTAATCTATGTACATGAAGTGACTAGCCATAAATATGAATGACTTTCCAGCGGGTGGTTGTCCTAGAGGCCCTAACACACAGGTTTGCCCAGGGTCCATAATGCTGTGAATATGGCTCTGTTACCCCCCCCCCCCACCCCCATCAACACGACCAAGGGCATCCTGTTCTCATTAATTCAATTTACATCTATTAACTGTCGTTTTCACAAAACCAACTGTATGTCTAAGGTCTTCACTTACTGTCTTGCCCGGCTCTCTAGCGTAGTTGGCTAAACCTAAACCGTATTGCGCGGAGACCGGGTGACGAACTCCTTGTGGTCCGGGTTCAATCCCGGGGGTAGGCAGGAAAGCCACATTTTCTCCCAGATTTACGGTATTTACAATGGAATCAAGGCCGAAAGGTTGCGATATCCATAATACCGAGCTTAAGGGTTAACAACTCATGGCTTCTGGATACTGAAACAAACAACAAACACTTACTGTCTTCCCAGTGTAGAGAAGGTCTGTCAAACTGACGGTCTTCCACGGGCCTTATGGGTCACATCTATTTTTGTCACAAGGGCCACACACGACAACTATTCGAAGTCACTTAATAAAAATTATTGCAGACTTTTTTTTTTAAATTGTGGGTCACAGGTGTACTTGCAAAGGACCGCGTGCGGTCCGCAGGTCGCATGTTTAACATGTTTGGTGGTAAACAACGGCAATGTCTCTCAACGATAAGATAAAGGCAATCTGTTTACAACTTTTGTATCTCTCATTGGACCTGTTCGCGTTTTCCGGCCCATCCGCAGACTTTGTCAGTTTGGTCTAAGTCAGAGGGGTGTGGTTTCTTCAAAAGTCTCTAGTGTGACCTGGATCAGATTGTGGGTAAAGGGGGGGGGGGAGTGTTGAGTTAGGGTCAGTTCTAGATGTTCTGGGCTATTTGAAAGCTCTGTCGTCGTGTAGTATAGAACACGGGACATCGGCGCTGATGGAATTGGTGGCAAGACAACGTGACACCCCTCAGACGTATAAGAGTCTGAGAAAGTTTGAATGAAAGGTCAGGCAGTGTGTAAATGGGTCGGGAAACGTAAACAGGACCCCTTTATTTACATATCTAATGGACATCTATCTAGTGGAGAAATAATAACAGTTGCTCATGAGATTAAATTACTCATCTTGCCACTATTACAATAATCAGTATTTGTACAAGCATTAGTAAGCATAATCATTAATAATACAAATATTCAGCGGTTGTAAATAAATAAAATATTTAGGTTTACACGTCAGAAACATGTAGTCACGGTTAACTCTAATTGTAATGTCTGTTGTGAAAGAGAATAAATAAAAACATTAAAAAATTGTGTATAACTCATCTTCAACATTTTATATATTGTTTGCTGGCACGGCTGTTTTCTTTAACAATACTACAAGTGAATGTTAAACTGCGCATTCATTATGTTGCTTGTTGTTCCTATATATATTTTTATATTTTAAACTAAAACAATTAGACAATACAGAGAGAACGATACAACGAGAACACAAGTAAAGAAAACAATACCATAGAAACAAAAACAACAGCTAAAGAACGAAAGAACTTTATTCTTAGAGGGTGATAAATTGGGCTCCCAGCCCATGAAGAACACAACAAGAACTACTCAACAAGAACAACACAACAAGAACAACTCAATATAAACAATCCGAAAAGAACTACACAACGAGAACAAAAACACAAGAACAGAACAACAGGAATAACACAAGAACAAAAAACACACAAGAACAGCAGAACAAGAACAACACGCCAAGTACAACATAAAAAAGAACACATTCGTGCAGTTAACCAAAACTCTACTGATGACAATAGCACGGTCGGAGAAAGTTTACAAGCGAAATGTGATCTTCGATACAGAGATGACACCTGATGAATGGTAATAGTAAAAGTAGCTGTAATAGTAGCACATACAGTATAAGAAGTAGAAGTAGTGTTGGTGATGAAGGTGGCAGTCGTAATAATGGTAGTAGTTGTTGTAGCAGTAGCCGCATCATCAGCAGAAGTGCGCAGCCAGAAATCGAGCTGAGAATAAAGATTAATGGGTTTCGGGAAGTAAAATAAAGGTCTCTTTTCCACGCCTTTAGGCGTATAGGGCATATAGACCAATCGGCACAAGATGGGAGATGTGGTCAGCATCACGTTGGCCGTCTTTACTTCCCGGTATCCACTCAAGGCCGGGTCGACCTGGGAGTCAAGGTCTTTTTTTTTTAAGTCTGGCTCGACCAGGGAGCGAACCCAAGACCTTCTGATCCTCACGCGAGCGTCTAGCCGCTACGCAACGACGACTCACGGGTTTTCGGGTAATGTATAATTATTGTAATTAGGCGTGTAATTAGCACGGGGGTATACTCATAGAAGCTTGGGATGTGTTGTCATTTGTCAATAAATTGTGTCTAAACATTGACAACATTTAGCATCTTTTCCTTCTTAGAGTCCATGCTGTCAGGCGTTGGTAGTCCTGTCTATCCAAAACCTTCTGTCTCGTTTACTTTCAATCAACTCTGACACAGCTGATCTTCCATGCCATAATGTCAAACTATCTAGCATCTCTTCTCTCGGTCTCCATCTGCCTCCCCTCCCCTCTAACTTTCCTACCGTCACGATGTACTCCAGTTTTCTCCTTCTCATCACATGATCAAAGAATGTAGATTGTCTCTTTCTGATGTGGGCAATCAGTGCTTTTCGTGAGTCAATTTCTTTCAAGACGTCTTCGTTACTTTTTGTTAGTCTTTCCAGGGCATTCTCATCTCGTCTATAAAACTAAATCTCCGCAGCTTCCAAATAAATTTACTAACTTCCATGATTCACAAGTTGGCATCTAATAACAACAAAATAGTCGGGGTAACCTCTGTGCTACAAGTGTCAGGCATGAACCATTAGAACTATTCTTAGCATTGTCAGTCCCTCGGGACCATGGATTATGTGCCGCTTTTTTGGAGTGGCTGAGTGGTGTAGAGGTATGGTGTCCACCTCGAGTGCTGGAAGTCCCGGGTTCAAGCCCCGTTGAAGGCTGGGATTTTGTTCACGTTGAATTCTAGTAATTTCCCATGGTCTGTGGTTAGTAAGATCGGACGCCCGTGTGTATCTTTCAGCATGTTAAACATCCCTTTCCAGTTGGAAACCGAAAAAGGTAACCTAATGGCGCTGCCCAGGCACAATTTTGAGTTAAATATCTACCCACATTTTTTCAGGATCCTCGCCAGTGCAAGTGAGTTCGTGCACAGCGTTGAGATTCTCGGGATAGAGTTAGAAGTAAAAGGGAGCATTTTGGGGTTACACCCATGTGCCATGATGTTGATCCGTCCACAAAACATAAATAACGAACATGCTTTTGAAAACAGTGTCTGCTACACGTAAAATCCAGTGTAGGTGTGGCAGTCTCTGGCAAGTAGTACACATAAAAACGTTGATAATCTGTCGTTTTGAGGATGGTTTTCTCTCAGACGTCTTCTCTCTACAGCTTGGTTACATCTATGAAGCAACAAATTTTATAACAGAGGGGAGAGGAATAATAGTAATATAAAGCTTCTTGAGTAGCAAGCAGATATGAGAGTAAAAATGAAAACAATTAGAAGAAGTTGGGGACTTATCTCTTTCAGTCCCAAGGAACTCATCATATGTATGTAGTTTCCTACCTAAAAGCCAAATGAACGCAAGAAGCAACCACTTTAACGCATCTCTTTGCTACCCCTCAGGTCTCTGACGATAAACCCACTGGAACTCGACGAGTTAAATTTAGCCATAAAATCCATTACAGAGAAGCAGATGAGATAAGTTTTTCTATCTGAATGCCCTAGGACCGACAGTCACA